AAATATGTGAATATATATTAAGTAATGATTAGTTAAACATTATGTAATGTTTGTTAATGATTTATTAATGAAAGTTATTATAAAGTGTTACCAGTTATGTTTTGTCAATACCATGGTATTGAGGTGTGCTATATGTGTGTGTTGGGAAGGAATGACCAATCAGAGCATGGGTTACTTCGTGCGTCATTAACTTTCAGTTCCGGTTGAGCCGACTGCACGAGACCACACATGCCTACACCTGTACAGTTATCTCAAATATCATTATTGTGAAGATAATTCCAAGCAATGCCCTGTGGTCTGGCTTTGCTTTCCATCGTGCTGATCATTTGCTGAACTTTAATTAAAGACTGTTGATTCTCATTCATGCCTCCTGTGTTCTGATCAACACACCAGGGCAAACAAAGCTACGCTACACCAGTGCAATACAGTCCCAAGCAAGCTCAGTTACACAATTTGGTCCTTCGAGCCGGATGCTTGTTTTTACACTGGACAAGAATGCATTAATACCAGTCTCAAGGTGCACGTCCTAAACATTCAGTCTGTCATCCAGCCTACTTAGAAGATTTTGAAATCCAGTATCAACTTGGGGCTTCTTTGACAGTATGGTGGGGAGCGGTACAGATTTTTAACACACAAGCCCAAGTTCATCTACTTGTAGAAAATCCGACTACGCCACCTGGGGAATTTCACCCAAGAAAATAGAAATAACCCCAAAATTTGTTATTAGGTCACACAGGTTCGCTTCTCTAATAAAAAAGGTAGGCAAGAAACGTAGGGATCATATAAAAATACAAAATTTATTCACAGATTAAATAAGATAACGAAAGCATTCAAAATAGCCTTGATGATACTGTGCCACCCCTGGCAGCTCTCTCTGCAATGACACTTCACAAAAAAAAATATGCAAACAAAAAAAGAAAACCCAACCAAAGATAAACACGTTACAAAAAAAACAAACAAATGTACACAACTCAAAATAAACATAAACTACACCAACATACAGGGCTGAGGTTACCCACAGGAGTGATCACCATCACAAGTTATCCAAAAGCACACGCACCAACGTGCACTCAGATCACGCACCCAAACACTTCAAAAGTGTCCCACAGCAAACGTTGGAGCATCACCACCAGTGGTGGAAAGAGTACTGAAAAAATATACTCAAATAAAAGTACCATTACCTTCCAAAAAATGTAGTGTGAGTAGAGTAAAAGTACTTGTCCAAAAAAACTACTCGAGTAAGAGTAAAAGTGTAGCCTATTTAAAAGTACTCATGAGTATTGAGTAGTGAGTACTGAGCTATGGATTCTACCCCCTCATAATAAACGCGGTACACCGCAATTTATACCTTTTAAAAACATTGTACATTCTGTAATTCACATTATCTTATTTGTCATAAAGAATGAAGAGTATCTATCATCCAGCAGTTTTAATTTTGATTGCCAACTCTTTAAAATACATCAAAACAGCACGGAAACAGTAAATATAAAAACTCTTTAAATATAAAAAACTTACTTACAGTCTTTGAGTCAGAACAAGCAGGCATTGTAGTCTACTCTACCAGGATCAGGAAACAGTCCTCCATAAAATGTGCTGCACACATCTGAATATCTGGGTTGAAGTGTTCTGGAACAGTGTTGTAAATACAACTTAACCACTGATTTCTAGTCGTGCCCATTTTTGGAAGACCAAACAAAGTAGTTTCGCTTTCACAACTAAACACAGCGTCACACACGGTGGCCTATAGTGAGCAGATGCCAGGGGATAAAGTGAGGAACGGCCGGAGGGCTAGAGGGAGCAGAGGCGGCGGATTCGACGAAGGAGCGTCCCGTGGGCTTGCGGCAACCACATGTGATGACCCCAGGCTGGACTCCGCTTCGTCCACGGTGAAAGCCAATCTGGCCATCCACAGCGCAAAGTTGATGTTTTTTTTTGGGGTTATGCAAATCTTCCCACATAGTGGCATAGGTATGTGGGGGCGTGTTAGAACGAGTCGATTTAGGTAGGTGTGGCTGACTCTTAACTTTTATAAAGAATATCTCTTTGGATTTGAGACTTTAGTCTTTGCAACTTTACAGATCTTCTTTATGCACCAAGAGCTTGTAATACTCCAAAGAGAAAGGAAAAATTTAAATCGCATCATATGACCCCTTTAATGTTTAGAACAGAGCAAATACAAACACCATTAGAAACTCATAGTTCAGCATCACACACCATGATATGGGTTAAAATGAGAGCCCATTTCTCTCCAAAACGGTGCCAGTTTGAGCGTTTTGCAATAAAGAAATAAAAATAACTAAACTTGATAATTTATGTTACAATTTTAACAAATAACAAATTCATGCCATACCTTTTACACATTTACTTGAATTGTTATGCTGATAATACAATTTGTAAGGAAAAATGCATTAAATAGCAAGGTATTGGTGTCTCTTTGCTGAGCCGCGGCGGTCTCGGTGAATCAGTAGCATCCACAACTGAACGGAATAAAAAGTGTTGAACTTGAAAATTGTTTATGCGCAAGTGAGGAAGATGCGACTGAATTGATGCTTGAAGAATGCACTTCCAGCAGCCATGATAAACAGTTGGCGGTTAAAGTTTTCTATGCACAATTTGATTTGACGAAAGTCACGAGACCTATTACTCTCTATCCAGTCATGTTGATGGATAAAAATAAAATTAAAATAAGCATGTAGCGACCACAAATGGAGGAAAATAGCGGAGTAAAAGTACCAATACATCACTTAAAATGTACTCAAGTAAAAGTAAAAGTACACAATTTTTAAACTACTCAAACAAGTACAATTACTGATAAAAACTACTTAATTACTGTAACGTGAGTATTTGTAATTTGTTACTTCACACCCCTGATCACCACCACCACAAAAGATCCTTCACCAGTGGGACCCCAGCTCCTGAAAGAAAATCAAAAACAAATAAATAAATCTTATAAACACAAGTAAATGAAATCACAGATAGATGTCACAGTTTCATAATAAAGCAAACGATGATGGGTAAGATCACAAATAAATCATAATCAACAATATACAAATATTCAATAGAAAAAGAATAACCAAACAACAACAAAAAATTTTTTTAACTACGGGGTGGACAGGACTCACAGGGAGCGACCGAGTAGTCCGTACACCGGCTCCAATAATCAAATAAATGATCCCCACCCTGATATAAAAATGAACTTAAAGTCCGAGAAAAAAAAAAAAACAGACAACAGCAGCAATCTTCTTTGTTAGTTGTGAGGTAGAATTCCCTTTTTGTAACCACATGCATGACACTTACCAAACAGAGATAATTGTGCTCTATAATCGGTTCACAGACCAGGATACGCAGCCTTCATATAACCCACCGCTAAACTGAAGTACAGGGAACGGCACATTATTTAAACCTCCCACCAATCGTCGAGACTTTAAGCAAAGCCAGACGATCTGCTTGCTACAAAACAACTTTAGCTCACATACCTGAAAGCTGGGCAGTCATCTACCCAAGCAACCGAAGGAGACACGCACACAGATGAAAAGACAGGCTAGGATGCAACAAACGAATCGTTAGTGCCACACAATCAGTAATTAAAAGCTTAAGGAACTGCTACATGCTAACAACCTGAAACCACCGTCAACAAACGAAACAAAGTGGAGGATCCGAACGTGATGCATAACAGGCTACAACCAACCAGCTCTAAAATAAAAAGCACTTGTTGCTCATTGGTGATCGCAAGTGTCAATCACCATCACTTACCTCATTCATACGGTCACAATCCACCCCCAGCTTCTGCATCGTCGCCCCGACGATGAACTAAACAAAAACCTACCCTCTCAACCTTCAGTCCCAAGGACGGAACCAAGCAACAGCTGTAATACCCACTATACTAGACACTGTACCTGCCCCCAATGATCATGGGAGATGATGTACATTAGAGTGCTGCCCAGCCGTACTCCTTCCAGTCCTCTTCACCACACTCTCACCCATCACAGCAGAACTTAAAGGAGGGTTCATTACTGGCTGCACGTTCACCTCTGACTCAGGAATTTCTTCTGCTCCCTGGACTTCACCAGACCCCTGAGGGACGGACTGGACAATACCCCAAGGTTCTTGCCTACTACTAACCTGCGGTGTTTCTGGCACCAGGACAAACAAGTCTCCCTCATCTAACTCCTCTTCCCGAGGCAGCACAGGTTCCACTAATGGAATGTCCTGCAAGGCCGGGGAGGGGTTCCTGCCGATCTGAGGTTTCAGCAAGGATCAGTGCACATGTTTCAACTTACCTAAATCTGTGGTGGGGGCAATCGTATACACCAAACCCCCTTCCTTAGGTGCCTTCAAAATCTGGTACACCACTGAGCTCTACAGGTCGTGGATTTTATGTTGACCTCTCACGCTATAGTCGCGGAGATATACCAACTGACCCTCCTTCAGTGGTGATTCTCGTACCTGCGGATCATGCCTGGCCTTTCAGCGATCGGCTGCGGCCCCCAACCTCTCACGAGCACCCTCAAAAGCCACCTGCAACCGATCCTGATGCTCCAGGACCCACCGATGAATACTACCTGCCAGAGGCTCCTCGACTCTACCAAACAGGAAGTTGACTGGAAGTCTAGGCTCCTGCCCGAACATCAAAAAATACTTCATGGTGCCCCCTGGGATGCGACACGCCCGGCATCCACTCACCTTGACTCGACCCCACTGATCAGAGACTGGTTGGACTTTAATATGATGGCAATGTTGTAAGGCCTGGAAAACAGAAATAGGGGGCTGTGACACAACAGGTAAATCAAAAAAGACTTGTGCCATGCTGGCCAAAGAGCTCCCGGTAGCAGCTGCTCAGGACGTTCATTCCCAGAACCCCAGGAACCTGAGCACCCAAACCACCTGGGGGATCTCTGACCACCAGCACTCCGCAACCTAAGACCACTTGCCCACAAAGCTGTACATCAAGCAACTATGCAATATGCTTACAAAATCTTGAACATTCATTTATTTATTTATTTTAATTAAGGGTGAAATTTCCTAGGCCGGACCTCACTTTTGGCCACTACGACATGGCAATTAATTAACTTTCCAATGGACCGCCAAACCATATTGCAAAAACAAGCCACTTTTATGAGGATTGTGGGCTTTCATGGAGTTGTTGGAGCCACTGATTGAACTCGTGTTCACATCATTGCTTCAACTGTAAACGAGGAGACATACCAATAGAAAACGAAGCATCAGTAATAATTTGTGATAATTTTGCACAATGCAAAGCATAAAAAAAAATACATGAATATATTAAAATATTTCAGTGTCTTAATTAAATGATTTTATTGTAGTTACATTAAATGATTGGTGTTGTGCTGCTGTGACTTCACATGAGCAGGCTCACTATTGGCTGATTCAGAGGTTGAGGT